GAGAAAGGTATGATGGTACAAAACAATAAGGGAAATCAGTGAATGAACTTCTTGAATGTTTTCCACAGATTCGACAACTATAGTTGTGTTTGACAAATCAGATGTTGTCTACAAAGAAAGACATTTGATGATACCACTAATCATCCCTCAATCATTTCATATCGTGACATGATTGATCAGGGGATAGGGAGTGAAGTAGTCAAACGTGTAGACCGCATCACTTATCTTGAGAGTCGCATCAGTGCTGGTGTACTGGTGACTAACGAAATGTCAGCTCGGATACAGAAGGCTTGATTGGATTTTGCCAACCTGCGTCACTTATGGCGTGGGCGAGATATCCGTTTGCTGACTAAAGGACGAGTGTACTGTGCAGCAGTTCGCTCCGTTCTCCTATATGGCTGTGAAACATGGCCAGTTAGAGTAGAAGATATTCGTAGGATACTGGTTTTCGATCATTGGTGTCTTCGAAGCATTTCTCGTATATCCTGGGACACCCGAGTGAGCAACGCTGTTATTAGGAGACGAGTCCTAGGTAGGGATTGCAAATCAATAGATGAAGTATTGAAACTTCATCAGTTGAGGTGGTTGGGACATGTATTACGTATGCCTAACCACTGACTGCTTCGAAGAGCTTTGTTTTGTAGTGTAGGAGTAGGTTGGAAGAAAGTTAGGGGCCGAAAAACCAAAAAATGGCAGAAATCCATGAAGTCATTGACTAGTGGACTGAGCCATGTCGATAATTGTCGACTAGCTGGTTAGGTTCCGCGAGATGATAATAATCGATGATTAGAGACCTTGAATGACATGGCTCAAAATCGACCGCAATGGCGCCAGTGAATTTATTCTTTGTGTTCTCTCAAATCCTAATCTTCTGGATTCTTCAACCTCTCTGGTTTTGACTTTCTAAACTTTTCTCACTGAATCATACTTTTTGAATAATATCTTCTAATCCCAACCTCTTCGATTACTTCTAATACCTTTATTACCTCTACTACTAATGGATTTGAATTGACAATTACATCTCTGTGCTGATGTGGTATGGCGAGATGAACTGATGTACTAACGTACGAAGTTCTACGTTGCATCTGTCTGTCTGTCTGTCTGTCTGTCTGTCTGATTGATCAGGAATTATTCTGTTTGAGTAATATAGATTAGGTTAAAAGTTAGTAAAGTCTTCTATTTTGTTCATTGAATGTCATAATGCTATGACTAATTAATCACCAGGAAAAAAACAAACTATCATGAAAACTAATTTCATGTTGAGAATTGTGAATTTTCTTACTCGGCTATCATCTCAGGTGGCTTATACACATACATAGTATCACGTTTCCAGATTTTAAAATCATATACGATGAGTTGCTGATTGAAGAAATAATAATTCGAAGAATTAGAGAGAAGGTCATCGATTAGTGGATTGATAAACTTGAATACCACTTTTATTTAAACCACTGATCAGGGAATCCAAATTGATGTTAAGTTAATTTCTTCATTGAGCACACTTCGCATTTATGTTATGTTTGTTGAGTTTTCATCGAATATTAGGAGAATTATCAAGAAATATATAAGTTTATTGAAAAATTAACTACATCTGGAACCCCTTTGAGAATACTACCGGTCCGAAGCGCGTACGAAGTATGATGGTTACACTTGGAGTTAAGTGAACCCATCCGTGGCAAACTAAGTCGCTGAGAAAAAATATCAGAAAACATATTTCAAACCACTTCAACTCTGGCCTGAGATATAGTAGGTCTGTAGTGTGCCTATAACTGCGTGTTCTTAAGCTCGGTTTATAAATCAGAAGATGAACTCCAAGTATCGTATACGTTTATTTGAGGCACACCACATAGCGAAGCGAAGAAGCGAATTGGAGAAGGCTAAGAGCCAACTCTTTGGATTACAATGCAAGCGAATGAGCGGAGCGACGTGGAGAAGGCTAGTGAGCCAACTCAAAGAGATAGAGCATGACTAAGAATATATAGTCAGATAAGAATAAGACAGACATATGACAAGCGAAATAGGTATGCACACATGAATAAAAGCGACGAATGATTGACAAGGTCAAATGACAAGCGATACAAATCATGTGAGTTCATGGGAATATTAAGAGATTAACATTAAAGCGAAAAGGATGAGTAAGTGCGTAAGCGTAATCAATGCTCAGTCGTATAAGCTCATACAAAGCAGATAATAAAAAATACCAATGGTACGTACAAGTTGTTGCTATGCAGATAGCTTGGTTACATAAATTAATCGAAAGGGCTTAAGCAAATTAAATGTAAGCGGATGCAAATAAATGTGGAGGCACTATAGGTCTACTTTCAGATGTGTTATGACGTCTCATTGTGAAAGCTAAGTGCCTTCGAAAGTCGCGAGATTTATAACCCTTCTTAAAACCAGATCAAACATTAAGTTAGACATATGAAAAACTCGAACATTTCGAGAGACCGCAAGACTATTCCGAGTTGCTACCGAGATTAAAAGATACAACCTGAAGGTGCTTGGAATCATTGAAACTTACGAGACGCAGGTTGGACAGCTGAAAATAGCTTCAAGAGATCTGTTATTGTATTCCGGCCATGAAGAAGAAAATAACTCACATACAAGGAGGGCATCACAGCGAACATCACCCAGTGCTATGCACCCACCAACGACCACAATGAAGACTATAAAAAACAATTCTACGAGAGGCTGCAGTCAGTTGTCGAGAGATACTCATCAAACGATTTGACAATTATGATACTAGACCTTAATGCTGAAGTTGGCATGGACATCACTGGATATTACGATATCACAAAACGACGGGAACTGAGAGAAGGTTACGGAGGTGGTAAGAGATATGAAACGTACACGTCTTCAGCAAACTGGTCATCGGCGGCTCAGTAATTCCACACAAACGCATACACGAAGCTTCAAGGATCACACAACATAGAACAAAATTGTCCATAGCTGTACAAATAAGAAGTTAAGAAGGATCACGGAGGACGTAGGAATCAAAAGAAGGATGACACAGCCCCAGATCACCACATGCTGGTCGCCGAAATGAAAATGAAACTCAGGAAATACTGGACAACGAGGAGTAAAAAACACCACAATATTTTAATGCGAACTTTCTTCGGGATACTAAAAAGCTCGAGAAATTTGAGGAATCCCTCAGCAATAGTTTTGAGGCGTGGTACGATGTTTTTAGTAGTGAACATTCGGAAACGGTGCATGGAAACAATCAGAACAACCAGAACGACTCGTGAAAAGCAAAGAAGACAAGGTAATCAGCAACACTGAAGAATAGCGACATAGGTGGGCATAGCACTTTAAGGAACCCTTGCATCAATTAGCCCCACGGAACATACTCAAAGTTCAAAGCCTATCCACGGACGTTAAAGTCGATATTGGTCCATCAACATTACGGATCATCGTGGAGCAATCATCTGGATGAAACGCACCACCATACTTCAACTTCACAGACTTCGAGAAAGCATTTGATAATGTGGACAGGATAACACTATGAAGGCTTCTTCGACATAGTGGCGTACCTGAGAAGTTAGTGAACATCATACGGAATTCCAACTATGATTAGACTGTAAAGTTGCTCACAAAAGACAGCCGACAGACTCGTTTGAGGTGGAGACCGGTGTCAGTCTATATCGCATATTCGCACTTTTTCTCTTTCTACTGGTGGTCGAATGATTTATGGAGACGTAAGCGAATGGGGCGGATCTAGAGATACAGTGGACAGCTTACATGCAGGTAGAATATCCAGACTTTGCTGATGATCTTGTTATTCGATCATAAACGCAACAACAAATGCAAGAGAGGACAAACAGTGTGGCCGCAGTAGGCTTCAGAATGCACAAAAGGGAAAGCAAGATTCTTCGATACTACCCAACACGTACCAGCCAAATCACACTTGATAGAGATGCTATGGGAGACATTTAAACCTTTATTTATTTCGTCAGCATCATTGACGAGCTAGGTGAATCCAATGTAGATGTAAAGCTGAGAATCTGCAAGGCAAGGACAACATTTCTAAAACTAAAGACCATCTAAACTCAAAGCAACTATCAACAAACACAAAAGTCAGAACTTTCAACACAAATGGCAAGACAGTCCTACTGTAAGAGTCATAAACTTAAAGAACTATAAAAGCCATCATCTAGAAGATTCAAGTGTTTGTTAACTGTTGCCTATGCAAAATATTTCAGATCCGTTGGACAGACATCATCAGCAATCAGCAATCAGCTTTTGGAGAGAATAAATCAAATTCTAGCGGAGGAAGAAATTGATTTCACGTTATTTACAATTTAGTAACCAGTGTAAATATATGCCATAAATTATTTCAATCAACAGGAGCTGGATCATTAGTACATCTATTATTCACCACACGATATCAAGTGAAGATTTCTAAAAATCTTCCACACTTCTTAGTCAATTAAAAACGAAAACATTACATTGAACACTCTATTTGCACACCATCTCTGAGTCCTGACTTCCAACGCTCCAGCCTTCTTCCATTCCTGCTGTTGCTTCCTTTACTTCCTGTCGGTACTCCATTTACTTCTTGATTTTGCTCTATTTGCTTTCCGTTTTCCTCTGGTGACTGTGAGACTTCTTTCACGTCCGTTCTTATACTACTTATATCGTTCGTATAAGTAGCACACACCATACTATCAATCTAAAAACAGTTCAATTGAAACGATATACTCAACTAGTATTTAATTAATTGGTAAGATTTATAAAAAAAAAGGTTTGAGAACAGACAGATAAGCAAAAGACAACAGAGTGAATAATATACGTATACATTCACCGTTGTTTGATTAGTCAAAATGATCTAGACAAGTGATAATGAATTGCGCATTTATTGGATGAATCAACGTAAAAACACACCAATGAGTACAACTGATAGGCTACATTACAATAAATTTCATTGGTTTAATGATACGTAATAAAATAATTCAAAACTATTTAAGCGATATCGTTTTCACTTTAAATCATACTAATCAACGATGAATATTTGGTTTCTGTATTTATTATCAGCATTGATCAGTATCAACTGTAAGTTAGTAGTAATAACATTTTCTCAAAACGTTTATTATTCGTGAGTGTTTTCATGAAAGAACTAACACATTTGAAATCATCAATCAATCAATCATTGTTAGACAGAGCACCATTAGAAACCTGGAAGAGGCACTGGACGGCCGTTTCGTCCTGGTGTATGGGACTCATCAGTGGCAGTGCGCATCCACGACTCCTACTCCTCGCAGGATGCGAACACGGGACCTTTGGCATTGTAGGCGAACGCCTTACCATCGGATCACTGGGCCGGCATCCAACGGTGTTAATGTCTAACTCTGATTGATCTAGGGATTTTGCGTGACTTCACCCATTTGTCTTTGGTAGTTACTGCCTACTACACCCGACTGGGGGTTGAACTCATCCATTGGTCACGTCTTCTCAACTAGAACTCCGAGAATTTGCTCACGAATCTAGTCACTAGTGAGCACTGTTACGACCACCATTAGAAACCTGGAAGAAGCACTGGTCTAACAATGATTGATTGATGATTTCAAATTTGTAAAAACACAAACCTCCAAAACTCTGCCCCAAAATAAAGAACTAATGTTCTCTTAACAGTGACATCACAACAAGTATAATGTTGGTTTACTGTAATTTTAAGCAACATTTGTATGTGTTAGTCGAATAGTGAGAAGTGAAATACTTATGATTCCTTTAATTCACTTCAGTCATGCAGCACAAAACTATGATCGTTAACATTCACTTTGAGCAGAATATATTTTAATATGCATGAGAGAATTGAACGTAAACTGCTTGAAAGCTGCACTTATCCAATAAACATTGCAAACTTTTTCAATTCTCATTCGGTTCAAACGAAACGAAATATCACAACACTAATATATAACTAATATATATTTATATAGTACTCTACTTCAATAGTTCATTTTCACACTCCACTAATCATTTAGAAATCAATCAATGTAAAATATCTCTCCACATGGACTTCAAGCACATGTAAAGTCTGCTACATTGAAGATACAAATGAACATGAGGTAAAGAAAGTAATAAGGAACTATGGCGTCTAAAAAATCTTCAAGCACTAATTAGCAGTTTGGAGGCACTGAAATCATTATCTATTACGTAGAACATGAGACTTGTTAGTTCGTTAGTTTGGTTGTAACAGAACAGCTTCATCAGAGAGAAAGAAGACTACTATTGTAACACAGGACAAACTTGTAACCAAGAAAGATAGACAGCTATCCAATTCATTGCTAATTTCACTAGGATAATTCGTCTCAAAACCGAATTCTGAAGTCGATTGCTTAACACTATATCCTATCGCACTGAAACAACAAACGACATATCACATAGAAGAAGAAATGCAGGCCTTCATGGCCATTTTTAAAGTTAAGCGATATCATTATATTTTTTGTAATGAGATGACCAACAACGGAAAATAAAAAAACGAATTCACTGAATTCCGAATTTTATGATGTTAGAAACGTAATTGAATTTGACCTGCGAATCAGATATATAATCGAAGAAGCCCTAGTTATTAACAGGGTTAGAAGACTAACTACCGACTAAAAAGGTTGCATAGTGAATTGTATCAAGGAGTAACATCAGTTTGTGTCTGTAACAATATACATACGGTTTAGATACGCAGTTATCTCTCATCATATCATGAGGTTTGACACATTTAAAAAAAAGTACTCAACAAGGTCTTTTAAATAAACTTGGATAATTTCATGAAAAAAAGTCTTCTCTATCAACTAAATTAGCTAACTCAAACTCGCACAGTAAATAATAGGAGGGGTTTGTGTAGATTATGTTATTTTCATTGTTATAAACTTGCGAGCAGTGAACTGTACTGTTGTCCTATTATGTGACGTCTCAAAAAATCGCATTTACAACCCTGTATAATCAAACATTCTCGTTCACGAATGCCTAATTTTAAGCTACAAGACAGAATGTACAACATTCGATTCGTATGAGTAGTGAATGAGAATCACTGAAAAGTCACATTCTACAGCTGTACATTTTCTTACAGATTACTGATAATTGCCTGGTATAGGTTAGTTCGTGATTGAAATAATTGCCATCTTCATTTGCTTCAGAGGTAATATCTTGAAAAATGTTAAATTTTTACATATCTGGGCAGCATCATCAACAATCAAGGTGGATCCGATTCAGATGTGAGGGTGCAGATCGGCAAAGCAAGGGATGCATTTCTACAGTTGAAAAATATTTGAAACTCCAAATAAATATCAATCAATACCAAAATTAGGATTTTAAATACAAATGTAACGGCATTTCTACTGTATGGAGCGGAAATTTGGAGAAGTACCAAAGCCATCATCCAGAAGAGACAAGTATTTATGAACAGTTGTTTTCGCAAAATACTTCGGATTCGTTGGCCAGACACCATCAGCAACAACGTACTGTAGGAGAAAACAAACTAGATTACAGTGGATGAGGAAATCATGAAGAAGTGGTGGAAGTGGATGGGACACACACTACAAAAAGCACCTAACTGCGCGTCACGAGACAAGCCCTCACATGGAACCCTCAAGGTAAAACGAAAAGAGGAAGGCCAAGGAACACATTACGCTGAGAAATACAGAAAGACATGAGAAGGATGAAGAATGGATAGAACTGGAAAGGAAAGCCCAGGACAGACAGAGTTGGTTGGAGAAAACTGGTAGGCGGCCTATACTCCATTGGGGGTGAACAGGCGTAAGTAATTAAGTAAGTCAGTAAGTAAGTGAGTAGGGGCTATGTGAGATCGATGCATAATGTTGATATAATGTAGTGAATTGATAAATCATATGTTTGTTTTTGTTTTATACTTTCAAAAACAGTCTGTGTTTCTAATCATACACTAAATGTCACTAATCCTAAAGTATTGCTTATTTCACTGGAAGGATTTCGTTTCGATTATTTTGATATGGCAAGAAGTAGAAATATCAATATTTCAATATTTGAAAAGATTATAAATTATGGTGTTTATGTTAAACAATTAGAAACTGTATTTCCATCTTTGCCATATCCTACAAAATATTCCATGGTCACCGGACTATATCCTGAAAGTCATGGAGTTGTGCATGACTATCTGTATGATCCTATTATGAATGAGCAATACCGTGAATGGCAATATGTTCCAAAGAATTCTACATTTTTTAATGTTGGAGCTGAACCGATTTGGGTGACAAATCAAATGCAAGGTTATCAAAGTGGAGTTATTAATTGGATTGGAAGCAATGTAAAAATCAAAGGTATTTTACCTACTAAAACTATGCTTGAACAAGTGGACATTCCTTCGATAAAAAGTATACTTCCTAATTTGATGAATTGGTTTAATGATGATAATAAAAAATTCAATCTTGGTCTTATAAGTATTTATCAACCTTACTTTGATGGATATGTATACGGTGTATCAAGCGATCAGGTTCTGCAATCTATAGAACAAATCAATCATGATTTGGGTCTTATAGTGTCATTGATTGAAAAGCAACCATGGATTAGCTGTTGTCTCAATGTAATTATTACAAGTAGCCATGGAATGACAACGATAAGTGAAACACGGAGGATATTTCTTGATGATTATCTACCACCCAATGAATACGTTACTACTGATAATAAATTCTCATCAATTTTTACACTGTGGCCAAATCAAGGTAAGTAAGTAAGTCATATTGCATACAGTTTATTTGTTTGTTTTTTTCTCAATTAAATCCTAGGATTTACAAAACAATCATTATATCAAAAGTTGAAAGGAAAACACCCTAAATTAAATGTTTATTTTAAAGAAGAACTTCCTGCAAACTTTTTCTACAAGTCAAGTGTACGTATTGGTCCAATTGTTTTGTTTGCAGATCTAGGATGGGTTATAATTCGAAGACGATCCGACCATGAACAACGTAAGATAGTATTTACTTGTGATGATATGCTAATTCGTTTTTTTTTTCATAGTTTGCGTCTTAACTATCATGTTTTATAATTTATCTTGCATAGATTGATATGGACCATGTTCACAACAACTAACATACGGACGAATTTTCAAACGTTATTCTAAATGTAGTGAAGGAGAACACAGGTGTGAGGGCAACCGAATTGTATTTTTACGAAAATTACAGAGAGTTACTCAGTAATAAAATACGAAAACCATATCGTAAACCGTTGTTAATTTGTAAATCTTCAATCCACATTGTCTGACATTTCACTCACTTGTTCATGCGTTTCATACACAAATTCCATTGTGTTCCCCCCACTCTTGCTTTCTTGATCTTCCCCCATCTTTTGCTGCCAGACATTACGTTGACATTCACGTCATATACTACTTATAAGTAGCTCGCACCAAACTCATCCCTCCTTTTAATAAGCTGTCGTCACTTTCAAAACAGGGACCCTGGTCAGTAAATATCACCTTCCGTATTCCGTGACGCGCTACAATATGCCGGATTACTACTTCGGTCATTGTTCTTGCCCGCTGGTCTGGAATGGGTACGGCATCTATCCAACGTGTAGCGTTTACTAGTTCCCGCTGCTGGGACATGGCGGCAGGCACACTCTCGATAAACTGCGACTCCAAAAACTGTGCCTTTGACTCCCCATCCATACTCGGCAGCGTACGGCGCAGCAACATCGTGAGCTCCACAGGCAGCACCTACAGGTCACCATCAGCCGACAGCCTCGCCAACCGGAACCTCTGCGGCGCCTCCTCCGTGTTCACTGGGCTGTCGAACTCCGTCATCTGCCGCCTGGAGACCGTCTCCCACGCCGTCTTCCCAGGCTGTCGTATACCGCCTTTGCCTCACCTCCCCACAGCGTCCCTAGCACCGCCAACTCCGCCCCGTGCCCCTTCACACCCACCAGCTCCACCGCGGGCCTCAAACTCCTCCAGGAAGCTCCGAAAATCTCCCTCATCCAACTCCTTCGGCCACGGGAGCTCCTTCCTTCTAGCAGGCAGCGACACCAAAATCCATCATTGTTGTACTTAACACATTCAAGCGAAAAAGGCAAATAAATTATTTTTTTCTAAAAAAAAATGATAACACAAACTCCAGAAGGTCGAAAATGTTCCTTGAGAAAATATACATTTCATCCAAGGTATCACATAGTTCAATTAGTGAAGTTTGAATACATTTTCAGAAGAGAAGACTATGAAATCGATAATGAGAGTAAGCAGACACAGATTATGTGATGTATGGTTATATCTGATGATGATCAGAACAATTGAGAACACATGTATTATCTGTAGAGTTTTATAACTGAAGTCAATCAGATCTAGGAGAAATTGAAATTGATTACTAACTGACAGTGATGAATCATATTCACATGATATTTTCATGACATGCACAAATGATAGTAAATTACTGTTACGCCTGCACAAAAAAACACGTCAACTTGATATGCTTGAACTATTACGAGTTGTGTTACCTTAGTCGGAAAACGAGAGCGAGGATCGAGGATCCGGTGACACCACGACATGTTACTCAATCCGACTATCCCAACATCCATTGAATAAAAGAAGAATGCTTGATATGAAGTAGAACCTGTATTTTACAAGTATCCAGAAAGTACGATGTCCGAGTCCAGAAGAGAATCAGGATCCCAGACTAGGTATCCGGAACCGGGTCCTGTTCATAAAACATTACACGCAATAAGTATTTATACATTTAGATTGAATAGGAAACATCATCGAATTCTGTGACATTGACAGTTAGGACAACAACCAATAAGAAACAACATTGGAGTACGATGTGACATTCATATCTAAGACGACTATAAAATTGACCAGTAGGAAATGAATCAATAGGAATCGACCTATAAAATTCTCTTAGGATAATAGTGGATGAGAATATCCCCTAACAATTACCAAGTTCTATTTCTTCCAATCAATAATACAATTTTGAGTCCAACTTTTTCTTTTTTTGTCTCAAAATTTTATCAATAATAGCATTTGTAAGTTTCAGTGGATATGCTCCACATTACGATGAGATGAAAACATTTTTAATGGCAATTGGACCAAACATTCCTGTGAATAAATCATTACCGATTCCAGGATCATTGAAAGTAGTCGATATTTATTTACTTATATGTCAATTGCTTGATTTAAAACCTGCACCAAATGATGGAAGTTTAACGCGTATACTTCCATTGATAAATAAGGTAAGCGAATTTTTATAATCAATTGACTATCCTATTCTTTATATGATATGATAATTTACCCAAAAGCAACTAATCAGTTGAAAACGAGACATATTGTGATGAATTTTTTTTTGAAAATAACACTTTCTTCAGTTCAGAAGAAATACTATCTCATTTCATGGTCCATAATTCAATTTTATTCTGTTGTGAATGAACATCATAAAGTGACTAGTCAGCTGATGACACACACACGAACAGTAGCTCTGGTCGGGTGCGGAAAGCAGAAGGAGATAAATACTGTTGAGAAGAAGATTGAGGAGCTGTGGAGCGTAAGGCAGATATTCGTAGGTTACTGGTTTTCGATCATAGGTGTCTTCGAAGCATTGCTCGTATACCATGGGACAACTGAGTAAGCAATGCTGTCGTTAGGAAACGGGTACTAGGTAAGGATGGAAGATTAATCGATGAAGTGGTGAAACTTCATCAGTTGAGGTGGTTGGGACATGTGTTGCGTATGCCGAACCACCGACTGCCTCGACGAACTTTGTTTTGTAGTGTAGGAGTAGGTTGGAAGAAAGTTAGGGGTGGACAGACCAAAACATGGCAGAAATCCATCAAGTCATTGACTAGTGCACTTAGCCATGTCGGTAATTGTCGACTACCTGCTTGTTGAGGTCCACGAGATGATAATAATCGATGGTTAGAGACCCTGAATGACATGGCTCAAAATCGTTCGCAATGGCTCAGGTGCATTTATTCTCTGTGTTCTCTCAAATGCTAATCTTCTGGATTCTTCAACACCTCTAGTTTCGATTCTCTAAACTTTTCTCACTGAATCATACTTCTTGAATAGTACCTTCTCATCCTAACCACTCCGAATACTTCTAATACCCTTACTACCTTTTCTACTATTGGATTTGAATTGACAATTACATCTCTGTGCTGATGTGGTATGGCAACATGAGCTGATGTACTTACGTACCAAGTTCTACGTTGCATCTGATTGACTGACAGACTGACTGGAGCGTAAGGTTGCAGCATTACAAGTGGATGATAAATAGGAATGATAAATGTTACACGCTTGTGAAGGGGCAGGACATTGGAAGATAAACTGTCCAAGAAGTCGACCACGACGACGATATTTTCCGCCCTAGGAATCTGAAGGTTCTTGCAGTAGTCGATAGAGGGGCAATTTATGCCCAGGGTGTGTACATAAATGAACAGGAGTTAGTGCGTTTGATCGATACAGGGACAGCTATGTCGCGTTAATAGGCAAAGAGCAATGTAAGATATGTTAGGGAATATGTTCAGCATGAAAAGCAGTGTGCATGATCAAGATATATTCAAATATAATTCCCATTGATGTCAGATATTGTCATGTTCATTCTGTAATACGTCAGATCACATTGAGAAATCCATTACGCAAACGTTTGTGTTCATCAATTAAAACTGATACTTTTTTTTAATTTGCATTTCAGAAAAACACAGCCAGTAACAACCGACTCTCATTTTTGTCATTGATCAAATATATTGCGTTCAGCATTTTCATAACGCATAGTCGTCTTCTATTCCAGTCCAATTGAAATGGAAGTTGTTGTCACAATGAATATTCATTCAACTGTTCATATATATACATTGATTAACTGTGTAATTCATTGTCAAGAATCAACTATTAGTGATGAAGCACAAATTTTGAAAGTTAACAGTTGATGAATGTTGTAACGTTTTTGGTTGATATTCTGACCGTTTTTTTTATATATCCAGTCTTAGCTTGTACAGTTTAATGCTTTGATGATAGTTCGTTTTTGTTGTAGATTCCTTTCTCTGAACACTTACGGTCAACTAATCACTTTAAGTTGCAGAATAACGGACATTGTATAACTCTCAGTGTTATGCTAGTCGACTGTAGAAAGTCAAGACAGAACGTTCTATTCTTTTGATCTCTTCTATACCTGAATAGTTGTCTATCAAGCTTAAGACAAGGGTCTCTGACTCAGTTAATTCCTCGAACGTATTATGATTTGAATAGGGCATCCTTATCTGAATTCATTTTAGTGAATCTGGACAAAATTAGAGCATTGAAACACAAAGCCCTGAAAGCATCATATTGAGCTGTGAATATTCTCTGAAATAACTCAATTTATTGTCAGTGTGATTAACTCATAAATACTACAACTTAGCGCATTATGGTACCAGTCAACATGCATAACAGTCGACAAGCTGCTATTCTCTCACACAAAAATATGAAGTGACTAAATGTGAATAGATTTTTGGGACTTGGACTTCGGCATTACCTAATTTATCGTTGAAAATGTTGTAAAACCAACATTCACGTTTCCAGATTAAGCGATACGGGGTGAAAATAGAAATGAAAACTTCATTGAACCAGCATGTAAGTGCTAGCGATCATAGAGGAATAATAATTATACAAGTATATATCAATTACGTAGATCATCAATGTAAGTAATTGGTACAGAGTTACTTATGTTACATGGTTTGTTGAACATTCAATACTTCAGTAAAGTAGGCCAACATTACGACAGGAAGTAGGCTGTTACTAAATTGTGAAATCGTTTATTCTTATAATTATATTTGTCAGTTTGATTAGCTTTTAGGTTGAGAAGTATTCTGGGGCAGAGTTTTGAAGGTTTGCGTTTTCACACATTGGTAAGCCGTTCGCCTACAATGCCGAAGGTTCCGGGTTCGAATGCTGCGAGGAGCATGAGTCGTGGATGCGCACTGCTGATGAGTCCCATACCAGGACGAAACGGCCGTCCAGTGCTTCCAGGTTTCTAATGGTGGTCTAACAATGATCGATTGATGATTTCAAATGTGTAAAATATCGCAAACCTCCAAAACTCTGCTCCAAAATATCGTAACAGTGCACACTAGTGACTAGCTTATTCGTGAGGAAATTATCGGAGTTCTAGTTGAGAAGACATGACCAATGGATGAGTTCAGCCCTGTCGAGTGTAGGCACTAACTACCAAAGACAAATGGGTGAGGTCGCGCAAAATCCCTAGATCAATCAGAGTTAGACATTAACACCGTTGGATGCCGGCCCAGTGGTCCGACGGTAAGGCGTTCGCCTACAATGCCAAAGGTTCCGTGTTCGAATGCTGCGAGGATCAGGAGTCGTGGATGCGCACTGCTGATAAGTCCCATACCAGGACGACAACGACTGATTGTTGATTTCAAATGTGAGTAGTTCCTCATTGAACAAAACGTTTCCGAACGCTCAAGATCTTCAAAGTGAACAGGGATTTATCTATGGATATCTATGGATCCTCTCTAGTATCACGGTCTGTCAATCTAAAAGTATTGTCTCTTAAACTGAATCGAAGTTTTACGAATATGACGAAATGTCCGGTGCAGAAACATGATAGATGCAGCGGAACAGATAATAAGTCACAATGTAAACTATGAGACAAATTAGTTCATCATTGAATATGGTGTGTTGTTAATGAAGTTCTCTTATCTCAAGTATAAGTTGAAAAGAATTTAGATAATTAAGCACGGTCAGTAATTTTTGCAAGACTCTTTATATTTTGATATCGTAAATCGACATCGTCGTATACTGACTGTTTTATGTTTTTAGAGATCTATCTATAGTTTGCTTCGAAAATGTGCACTTTCAAATTGCTTGTGTGAAGTTACTATGTTTTTTAAAGTTTGATGGTCTTGTTTGTACATCAATAAGATTTATGGAATGTGATTAGTACTTACTTACTTACTTACTTACGCGTGTTACCCAAAATGGAGCATAGGCTCCCCACCAGTTTTCTCCAACCAACTCTGTCCTGGGCTTCCCTCTCCAGTTCTGTCCAATTTTTTGTTCATTCTTCTCATATCTTTCTCTATTTCTTGGCGTAGTGTGTTCTTTGGCCTTCCTCTTTTGCTTTTGCCATGAGGGTTCCATGTGAGGGCTTGTCTCGTGACGCAGTTAGGTGCTTTTTGTAGTGTGTGTCCCATCCACTTCCACCACTTCTTCCTGATTTCCTCATCCACTGGAATCTGGTTTGTTTTCTCCTACAGTACGTTGTTGCTGATCGTGTCTGGCAGACCAACTCGAAGTATTTTGCGTAGACAACTGTTCATAAACACTTGTATCTTCTGAATGATGGCTTTGGTAGTTCTCCAAGTTTTTGCTCCATACAGTAGAACTGTCTTGACATTTGTATTGAAAATCCTGATTTTGGTTTTGGTTGAAAGTTGTTTGGAGTTCCAGATATTTTTCAACTGTAGAAATGCAGCCCTTGCTTTGACAGTCCGCGCCCTCACATCTGCATCGGATCCACCTTGATTGTTGATGATGCTGCCCAGATATGTAAAAAGGTGTTAACGTCCTCCAATGTGATTAGTGGACTTCTTGATTTTGTTCGTGTAAAAGTGACGTTTTAACGATCAAAATATTCCATAAATATTATACAAGAAGAACTGTATTTGATTTTAAACGTTCACTGAATAAGTGTTGAGTAGTTTAGCGAAGACTTCAGAAGGCGAAAAAGGAACTGAAGTTAGAAATGTCGATAAATCTACAGTCTATATCATTCAAATGAAAACATTGTCATCGTTATTGGCTAAGGTTATTGTTAGACAATGTGTAACATTCACACTTCGTTTGCTTTCATAACTCACAGTGTGGTGCGCGCTACTTATAAGTAGTATATGACGCGAGTGTCAACGTAATGTCTGGCAGCAGAAGATGGGGGAAAGATCAAGAAATGAAATAGCAGGAACACAATGGAATTTGTATGAAACGCATGAATAGTGAGTGAAATGTCAGACAATGGATTGATGATGGATTGAAGATTTGCAAATTAACAACGGTTTACGATATGGTTTTCCTATTTTATTACTGAGTAACTCTGTAATTTTCGTTAAATACAATTCGGTTGCCTTCACCTGTGTTCTGCTTCACTACAACAGTACAAATGGAGTTATGTACATTTATAAAAGGAAAAAAATGCCTCAACTAATGAAAGATTGTTGACATACTGAATTTTGTGATACTTAATTACGCGTTTTGAAAGTAAGAACAATGTTTTTCATATTTGAACTACCGAATAAGTTAGAAACAGTTTACATGAGAACTATACAAACGTCAGTAACTCATCAAAGTAATTGGTAGATAACGAAAATCAATTCACTATACAACCGTAAATTTGAATAAGGGAAGCAAGACTGTGCAGGTTAAAAGAGTAAGAAATTGATAATGATTATTGAAGGAGATTCAGAGTTGTATTGTGTGAACATTAAACTGATATATACCGTTGTTAACTAAAAGGTGTTTCTTGATAAATATCTACAGTTCAATTTCTTTTTGTCAGCTACTGAAAAAAACTAGATGATACCATGTAGATAGTAAAATATTTCAATATATATATATAAATATACAAAGAAATCGAAATCACAACCTCGTTCACCTTTTGATAAAATTTGTTCAGATCAAAGATTTGGAATAATGTTGATTATTGTTGTAGTGATCAGCAGAGATATTTTTTTGAAAACATTGCACATAATTACAATCTTCAGACAACAGCGCAAGTTATGTGACCTAAATTATTTTTAACCTGAATAAAATCAAAGTGATCAGACGTGTATGGTATAAAGTTTCATTTTAAACAACCACCTTGTTTAACAATAAACAAAAACAAAAACATACCAGAAAAGGTTATTCAACATTGAAATGTTAATTATTCCTTTCAAGGCTGATAATATGAAATCAATAGATTGATGCAGATTTATTTCAGTTCTTTGCTATTCAGTCTAATAATAATAAAGTGCTTACTTGAAATGTTGTGTAGTAGCCCATGTAAAGTGTATTTTAGATAAATAAACTCATCACTGGGTTTAGTTACAACATCATCTGAGACCGTTTCATTGGATATACTTCGTTCACTCGGTATAAGCACAAAATCAATAACCTTTGATCTGAACTGATAACAAACATGATGCTCATGATCCTGTAAGACAGACATCGCATATCGATTGTCAAATTGGGGACGTGTTAAACCTCCACAGAACACTGTTAGTAAACCGCCATTTGTGGATGAGCGGATGTACCACAAGGCAGAGGACCATATGAAGTATTTGGTGGATCGATCATTGACACAATGACTGGTTCAAATGGTTGATCACTAACGGCTGCAACGATAGGCCAAACCTGAAATGCACCATCTTCATAAGTAACTACAACCTCAGTGGATAAAGAATCTACAGATGTAACATGCCATGAAGCCCATTTAACTGGCTGGTCGCGAAGCAGTAAATGACTGATTCAAGGAGCTGGAGGTACAGATAATGTTAGTTCAACTTCTTTCTCTGTTTTAAGTGTATCAGGCCTTAAACTACGCGTCAACGCCTTAAATTTTAGAGTTGATCGTTTCTCCGAATGTCGCTTAGCAGGAGTACTAGGAGTTGATTCAGCAGAACTCTCATTCAAGACTGGGTGGAACCTCTCTCCATTTGCTTCACTTTTATCACCTAGTGCAGTATCCCCCCCCCGAGTTTCGTTAGGAATAGTTGGGGCCAGTTCATCGACAACAATTGGAGTAACAACCTCCCCTTGAGCTGTAGGGGC